TTGACTCCTTTTCAAGAAAGATACATCCTTTTTTAATCAAAAGCAAAGCAAATGAACAGGTTTTAAGATTATTATACCAATAAATTGATACGCCCAAAAATTGATGAGCGCTCGATTCCACCGCGGTGTGACACACATACACATCCAGTTACAACCAGCAAACAGTAACAGTCAGCTTTGCCCCAAAGACTGAATATCTTGGACAGCACACACACACATACAAAGCAAGAGACCCAGCCAGCAGTCAGCTCAATGACAATCAACATTTGCCACGGTAAAAAGAATTGTCTGTTGCCAGTACATTTGTCATTATCACATCATGCACATAGAGAGAAATTCTGCAGTCTTGTCCAATAAAAAAGACCACAGCACACAAAACTAATAAAGTCCAAACATTCAAATGCTGCTTTCTCACCAGTACTTCTTTCACCTTCAGAAGTTCACATAGGACACAATAATATATGTGCTTCTAGTCTCAGCTGAACATTCTCATTTCAATGAGCCGTGTCCATAATTCCACAAAATAAAGAATGACTGACTGTCAGTCATTTAGAGTTTCTGAAGAAAATAACAACAATCTTCATACTTAGCCAAAAATGTTGAGAAAAAAAATATTTTTGCAGTTTCTTAATCTGTGGTATCAACTGCGAGTGCTCCAGAAATATTTCCTCAAAGTTCAAATTCTAAATGAAAAAAAGACACATGCTGTAAAATTGTAAAAAACATGAAACAGTTTTTTTCTCTTTCCAGAAAAATTTTGCTGTCAAGGGTAAGAAGGTCTACCTTTGAACAGCTTTCTGATTAAGAGGAAAGAAATGAGTGGGATCTTTTACCTCCTGATCGCTTCAGAAAGGCACCCTTCCCCTTTCTAAATGTTGAAAACCAGAAAGCCATAATCGAATGGGAGAGTTGGTCTCAGTTTATAAGAAATTTTTCAGCTTTCAGTCATAACTAGGGAAAGGGGGAAGTAATATTCACACTTAAAGCTGTGCTCTAGTTTAAATCTGATCGTCAGCACAGAAATGAGGGAACCTTCTCACAGAAAAGTCCTATTGCACATTCAATTCAAACATTGCATGTAGTCTACTGATGTTGCACTATTTTGCCTTACAAGCTTTCCTCTTTTTTTTGTCATATTATATTGTAGACTTCCCCAAAATAAAGACTGAGTGCAGAACTTAAAGTTCTGCAAAAACAGTCCATAATTTTATTTAGTTTTCACAGAGATACTTGGACCTCCACTTTAAATTCAATCAGAATTTTTTAACAAAATTATAGAGTTGCCAGTGTTAATAATACTTTCTAATAGTGTTAACAGTATCCTATCTACACCCTGATTTTACCATGTGACAAAATGAATTGGCTTGAGGATGCCACCCTGTAATCTAAATTAAAATATAGGACGATATATATATAGCAAGATCAGGAACAGCCTGTCTTATCAGTACAAGATGGAATATTTTTAACCATGAACAACAAAAAAACCCAAAAATTAAAAGAGAAGTACAAAAGCATCAAACGAGATTGTCAGAAGCTACAAAAGTCAAACAGATCAGAAACAAAGTTGTCACAGAGCACCACACATAATGAGTCCCCTGAAACTGTGATGAACCAGGAGGTGTCATACTGGTGAATAACTTGTCCTTAGGCAGGAGAAAACAGCAGTCACAATTAGATGATTTTTGAGAAATTTTAGTTTTAAATTTAGGAAACTTTTAGAAGAAAAATATAACATTGTCTATGGACCCTGCATTTTCTCCCTTTACATAAAATGTTATGCTAAAACATGTAGTATTTTACAATGGGACTCGGTATGACACCAAAAAAAATGTTACAGGAACTGTCATTTTTTTCCCTTGTCTTCATTTGTCTTTCCTTTACCATCCCGAAAAGATATTTAAGAAAACCACAGCACCTTCCCATTTCCAGTCAGTCCTTGATGTGTTGTGCTACGGTAGAGGAGCACACACATACCCATCAAAAAGTCGAACGACAACACACAGATACAACACAACATTTCCAATACACACAGGAGAGGCGCTAACACCACCTGTTGGAACTCTCAAAATCATTTCTTTCAAAACAACCACTATTCTTATCCTAATTAATGTTCACATACGTAGGTCTACACTGTCATATGTATCATAAATCCTACATGCAAACTTCTCTGGCACACAATACATAATAGATTGAAAATTTGCAACGACAGTAATATAAAATAATTATAACTTTTACCTTTTCTTGTAAAATAAGAAAACAGTAGAGCTACAACAGCAATGTATTTACATATCTAAAACATTAAAAGAGTTTTTTTTTAAACAGAAAAAAACTTTCTAAAGTTGAAGAAACTGACAAGTCCATGGTGACACTCAGCTGTTTAAAAAAACCCACACCCTTAAAGTTGACGAACATGTGGACCCCCAACTTAAGACTTTAAAAGCAAATATGACTACCAACTGTACGGCTATATAGACAAAGACTCTGCAGCAGCTACAAGTCCTGTGTCTGTATGCCATGAATCACTAGAGAATTCCCATTTATTTATGACCTGTTGATCAGCTCCTGAAAATTAAATAAATGAACAATGAGCCAAATTTAACATCTCTTTACCATCTTTTCCAATAAAAACTTTCTTAAAATACGTAGCTGCAGGTACAGAAACTACAGTATCCTCAAAATTCCTGTGTCCAAAGTCATTCTAGAAGCAAATATTATCCCTATCATACTTTTCTAGTAACTCTCTTCTTGTTCTCTTCGTCTACCTCAGGACCCTTTACTTTTTCATTTCTAACCTTTGTTTTTTTCCAAGCCTCCCTTTCGTAACAAAACCATACCTTCAAATTCAAAGTCTTCCACAACATGACCTTGTGAAGAAGATGCTATTTGTACTGCAGTAATAGTTTTAAAAAACCAAAGATCTCACTTTACACATACATGTACCAATATATCATGTGAGGCGAGTCAGGAACACCCTTTACTTATCAAAGTGCACCATAGCAAGCCAGAGGTAAAAAAAAAAAGGTGGTCAATTAAGACCAAAAGACAATAATTTATCAGGACTCATACAAAAATGTAAGAGTTCCTAAGCATGGTAATCAATATTGCAACGCCTGTGTTGTGTTTGCTCACACTACGTATTATGAGTTTTCTCTTGAACTGACACACACATCTCTTCATTACAAAAGACCCAACACAACCCATCCAGGCAAAACATCTGATGCCTCCCCCGCCAGCATATATGAAAGGATGACACAACAAGTATTGGCAAAAAGTCGCTGCATATGACTAGCATTGCCTTTATATCTTGTTACATCAAGACGTTATTATTGATCCAGCATCACATCAAGATAAACACACATACTTCCACACATTTTGATGGACATGGAACCTTTGCTCCTCAAGACTCCATGTAAAACCCACTTTCGCCAATATAATGTATTGCCTAGCAAAAACACAGTCCACATGTGAGAGGAAAAACAACATGTTTTAATATTGCACTCCCAGAAAAAAAATTCACGCTATTGAACCAGACAAATCATCTTGATGAAAGATTATCTCCCTATAAAAAGACAACTTTGTAAAACATCAATTTTGTCTAGAACATCTTCAACAGACTTGACTGCTCAGGAAACACATCCTTACCTTGCATTCCAGATAGATTAAACCACAAACTCAGAAACAAACTACTGCTTTCTGGTAAGTCCTGAGAGACAAATCTCTCAAATACTGTAACTACAACATAGCAAGAGCAGTGACATATATTTCTAGTGAGAGAGGGTGTTACGGTGTCTACAAATTAAGTTTTTGCTAAGTGTCAACTTCATTTTGTAAGGGACTCTCAAGTACAATTTTTATCCATACTCTCATTTTGTATATCCCCAAGTAAGGAGGAAGGAACATACTGGGTGATTATCCAGTCTCTCCCAGGTAAGTGGTTGGCATCCTTTCCTGACCCATCATGCCTGGCAAACACCATAAAAACTTTGTAGTGTATTAAATCCTATGGTATATTATAACGGGAAGCTCATGCTGTCCAGACAAATAAACACAACAGGGTGGACGTACCTTCTAGATCAGTAGTTTTTAACCCTTTACTCCCTAGCCATTTTTGTGCACTCCCTAATCCCAGTCCCAGCCAACACAGCAGTATTTCAGAAAAAGAGGTACGCATTCTAAAAAGTGATGTAGTATTTTGTAATGAGGTTTAGATAATAATATATAAAAACTTTTAAAGGTAAATGAACAAATATTGTTTAGAGCATTTTATTCAAGAACTCATTGAACCATACACACCATCATGTGAACTAAGATCCAGTGGCTCTGGACTAATTTCAACACCTCGTGTGTCACAGAAGAAATATGGTGAGAGAGCTTTTTCTTTTTCTGGGCCAACAGTTTGGAACACTCTCCCTCATGATTTGAGGAGCGAAATAAAAATTGATACCTTCAAAAGGGGACTCAAAACACATCTATTTAAGAAATATTTTAATTAATGGACAGTGCCTTTGCCTTTTTGTATGAGCATTTTTTATTGTCAGAAAGAATGTTGCTGTCAAAAAGTGCGCTCATGATGAATTTGTATGGTGTTAGTATGAATGCGTTTTTAATCTCCTATGTACGCCTTGGGCCCATGCTGTGGGGAAAGGCGGGATACAAATGCTCTTATTATTAAAAATTAAGAAAATTAAAGTTTAATTAAGTTCGCTTATTGTTTAAAATGCGCAAATTCGGTAACCCCCCCCCCCCCCCCCCCCCCCCCAGTGGGAGGTACAAGCGCTGCTGAAAATATACACGCATGGAGCTGGAAGGGTTAATCTATCAAATTTCAGAGGTTTGGCGAGTCAGTATCGGGGTAGTGTGACTGTGTGTATCCGTCCTGTCCACCCAACTTGAAAAGTTCGGAGAATGCATGTATGAAACTTCTGGGTTCAGCATCTCAAACAAGGTCACTACTCAAGAGGGTGAAAGACAAAGTTTATGAACTAAACCAAAAACAAGTATTATTTCTTGCCTCTCTAGCCTTGTGCCCCATTAAAGCTTAAAATTGAGTATAACCAGGATATAGATTTTTTTGTTGGTACAGCCCATTTTCTCACTATCAGCACCCCCCATGATCATGTGGCATCATTGTGGTAGCACATACAGGGAACTAGGAAGAGACTTGGTAATCACTCTTATAACTATTTAGTTCAACAACCATTTGTCACCTTCTTTACTGAGCTCAGCGGCCATCGATCACCCCACTTGGACCCTCACCACTAGGGGAAGTAATGGGGCTGCAGGCAGAGTGACGTTTCTCCGCTTCTGCATCAGCATTCTCCTCGATCTTGTTCTTCCTGAGGGTGGCGAAGATGTCCTTGAAGAGGGCCTTGTAAGGAGGAATGTGTCCACTGTCCTGGTAGTAATCTCGGTTGAGGGTGATGTGGAGCAAGGTCTGAACCTCCTTGTGGGCCAGTCGCTGGCGAGACGTCTCCTCCTCACCTTCCTTCTTGGCCTTGGTCTGGGGACAGTCACAGAAACAGAATAAGAGCTTGGTCTGGGGATTAGGGCAGAAATCTTTTCAGCATTAATCATTTCTTCTTTGAAGCAGTAGAAGGTATTGTCTGTGGTAGGGACGGGAGGAAGAAATAATAATAATAATAATAATAATAGATAGCATTTGTATAGCGCATATCCCCGCTCAACAGCAGGCTCTATGCGCTTTACACTATATTATTACCCCAGCAGACCATAGAACACTCCGAAACATTCTCAGCTTCCCGGGAAGCATACAGTGCGAGCAGCCGATTAAGCGCTCAAACACTAACAAACTGACAAGATCTTTCGCTGTCTATAGCCGGGTACCCATTCCCACCTGGGTGAAGTGAGGAAAATTCGTGTAAAGTGCCTTTCCCAAGGACACAACGTCGGGCCCTTGACGGGATTCGAACCCACGACCTTACGGTTGCGAGTCCGAGAGCCTAACCACTAGGCCACCGACGCCACAGAAATAACCGTACAAATCCTGCAGTTTGGACGGAAAAATAAAACAATTATCTTTTAGCTTTAGAAGTCCAAGCACAAACATTTACGTTGGCTGCTGATTTAATCCCATAAACGTATTTCCAATTCTATTGCATTTTGTCATCTTCCTATTTAAATACCTGTTCCAATCAAAAATTAACTTTTCCTTATATTCAGAAGCAAAGCACAGTGGCCACGATAGCAATGAAATGTACTCTTATGATTAGCAATGGCCCCTTTTATCACAGACAGTTACCGAAGAAGTAAACACTTCTGATCTCCAGTCCGCCGGCAACAGGACAGTGCCAAAACACAGCCAGGACAAAGTGGAGTTATATAAATTCCTCAAAACATTTCAAGTTCAAGAAAGACACCTTGAAGGTTCAAACCAACGTCACATATGGCCACTCCACTGAAAACACAAACTGAACTAACGGTGAAATCATGTGCTGAAAGAACATCCCAGAAAAACAGAGCGAAAAGAGTGAGCCTGTTTTTTTTTCATACTTGGAACTGAAAAAAATCGTATTATATACAACATCCCAGCAGAAAGACCGAGTTAATACAATGTATTCAATAAAATTTCTCCCCACTTGGGAACCGAATTTGGGTCTCCTGCAGGTGGCAGTTATATATAGATATGCTGGTGTACTATAGTCTGTTTATTTTTTCAGGTACATGTTTGCACTACTAAATCTCAGTTTTCTTTTGACTAAATGCACTGGGAATTTGCACACTGGGAATTTGCACACTGGGAATTTGCACACTGGGAAATGCTCCTGATCTTAGGATTACGTTTTTACCCAGCAAAAATCAAAGATGTAATTCATTTCATCTCTTATTTATTGTAGAGAAATAACCTTACTTGAATGTACACAATTCAGAATGGTTTCCACAATCAAGGTCGCTGGCGTCACTCACATTTTCTCCGAGCTGCATGCTTACTGTACTCTAAAAGTTCAATTGATAACATGTTAAAAACATTTGTTGAAAAACTGAATTTTCCCTTCAAGAATATAGATCTAGTGATATTCCACAAATCAAAGGAATTTGCCCTTCTGCATGAACCGGTTAACATGCAGATCAAAAGAGTTTTTAGGAAATTGAAAAAACCTATACCCATCAGCAAGTTAAAGGACTATTTAGTTTTAGTTGAGGTTTTACGGCGCTCGCAACAGCATATAGTCATATGAGCGCCATAACGGACTATTGGCAGGAAAAGTGACCTGTATGAGAGCCTGGTACTTGGTGAACAGCGACTGGTACTGCGACTCTAGCTCATCCAGGATGGACAGACTGGCATCCTCAACCTGGATCTCCTTGGCATCAGTGGCCACTTTGTTGATGGACTCTGGCAGTGGGAAAGACAGAGACTAGGTCAAAGGGCTGGCGTGGGTGGGTAAAAAAAATTGAAAATAATCACGGTTACTTGAGGAAATGGCTTGTCATGAGAAGCGTAAATGAAAAATAGGAAATAATGATGGAGAAACAGAAAGGAGGATGTGTTTTGTTGTGTTATTTTAACGTATTTGTTTCACGCCCCATCAACACAAAGGACATAGTGTAAATGAGACAAAAAATATGATGGGAAGAAGTGTCACAGGTCATTGTATAGGTTCATTATCCCTTCTAACACTGGAAGATGTGTTGCAAGAGAAAATAGTAGGCCTATAACATTATAAAGGGGAGAAACACATTGGAAGGAAACAAAGGAAGAAGTGAAAGTGAGACTTAGAAATTGCGTAAACCAAACCCAAAAACAATTACGATGGAGGGGAAGAAAAAAAGAAGTATAAATGAGACATAAATATAATGGAGGAAAAGAAAGGAAGAAGTGTTATCAAAATTAAATGAATTAAAAATATGATTGGAGGGGAGGGGGGTGGGGGGAGAAAGGAATAAATACATGTAAACCGTAAATTCTCAACTACAATGCAAGCGATATTTCCAAAAAAATGAAGTCGAGTAGGACTACAAAATATGCCCCCCCACCCACTACCTCCTACGTGTCTGCACAACATATAGCCAGGATCAAGATTACGATCTATGGAAAGTAATTCCCACTGTCCATTGAAGAATTAATTATCTTTTTCATTTACTAGCTGACCTTTCTAATAATCTGGCTGGATATTACAACACATCAAGGCATCTGGTTCTGAAACTCCTTTCTCACAGATCAAATCAATCTAAACAACCAGTTCAGGCAACACATTATATTATTTGATCCCCCGACTAGTGCTTGATTCACGTAGATTAATTAAGCCCCCTCCAGCATGTCAGAAATTCACCCACTACAACCTACAAAAAATGGGTAGATTTTGGAGATTAATAATTATTATTATGACGGTCTTCTAGTCTACTATCGAACCCTAAGCGTAACCCAGCGTTAAGCATATACACATACATGCAGGCGTGATTATCTCCTCCTTTCTGGCGGGATGTATCCTTCACTTAACAAGGTAATAATATAGCCCTGAAAGGTACGGCCGCAAAGAACCGCCTCTCAAATAATGATCGAAATTGTGTTGTGGATGACTAACCGTCATCATTACCGTCAGGAAGAGCAGACAATGATCATACATGGTTGCTGTGATTTTAAGTCAAAGAAAGAAGACCCTCAAGGAGAGTATGAACCAGTAAAGGGAAGGTCGATTGAAGAGGTGAGTAGATAGAACATACTATGTTTTTGTTTCAGAATGAGACAGCATGACTAGTTCATATATCTTTTGGAACTGTTTGAAATAATAGGGACCACTAAGTAAACGGTGGTGCTCCCGTCTCCCTGTACACAGAAACCCGCTACAATTTCCCCCTGCCTCCTCGGAGACCAGAAACCACTGTCAACTGTCAGCCGCACAAAGCAGACAAGGACGCTTTTCCATTCGCCGCACGGCTGTGAACATGTACCGGTAAATGGGACAATTTTCGCTCGTTCGTCTCTGTTCAACTACAAGACTTAGTGCACATCCCCTGTGTGTGCATGGCCAAAGTCACCTGTTTCCGTGCCAGTCTTACCTTCCCGCCAACTCAAGAACATGACGTGTACATACGATTTTCCCACAACCTCTGCTTTCGTGCCCACGTGATAACAAACAGGCTCCGTTATTAACCATAGACAAAAAGACTTTGTGGGTCTCAAAAAGTGACAGGCAAAATTGGCTTCATTTTTTTCGCTATGACTCCCCAGGTGAAAAGATATTTAGCCGTCCTGACAACCTATGACAGTCACCGTGGTAGACTCCTCCCCTCATTAGGGCTGAGCAGACACAGTGAACCCTGTGGGTGATTGGCGGGTGATCTGATGTGGTTTGCTCCTTCTTTCCTATCAATATATGCCGTCCTTAACTCGCCTTCTTGCTTTGTGTTTGTCACTCCTTTGTAACACCTCTAATCTTCGCACTTATGCGGCCAAACTGTTTTGCAAATGCCGTAAAAATTACTAAAACAAGAACCACTTGAATCGCCGACTCATTCCCGTTCCAGGGCCGTCGAAAGATTTAGTGCAGCGAGGCAAAAATTTCACTCAGACTGTTTTGCTTTTAGCCTTACACAGTGTCACCGTCACAGCGCCTGTCCGTCCCCGTGTTACACACAGGCTAGGACCAGCGTTTTGCTGGTGGTGTCAGTTTTATTACTGCAATCAAATATGGCCAGTTTTCACTCCTCTGACCAGCATGGACAAGTTTTTTAAAATGCAGTTTAGTGCTATGGTCAAGGCTCTCTCTCTCTCTCTCTCTTTCTCTCCCTCGGTGTGTGTGTGTGTGTGTGTGTGTGTGTGTGTGTGTGTGTGTCTGTGTGTCTGTGTGTGTGTCTGTGTGTGTGTGTGTATATCCCTCGGCTTCCCCCTCTCTCTCTTTCTCCCCCCTCTC